GCTGCTAAGTTGCCGTTAAGGTTTTTGATAAGATTATGGATATCCCCAATCTCAGTTTCCACATAAAGCTGAAGGTCATCGGCATAAAAATGGTACAAGCAGTCGATGATGGAGGTAATAAAGTTTATAAAAATTGAAAACATTATAGGAGAAAGAATACCGCCTTGCGGCACACCAGCATCCACATCAGCCCAAGCTGAGGACAGTTGCCCCACAATAACTGACTGCTGTTGACCGCGAAGATAAGATGCAAACCAATCCAATTCAGTAGGGCCAAAATTCAGATGAGACAGGACAGTATGGAAAGAAGGATTTCATGATCAACTGTGTTGAAAGCATTTGAGAAATCAACTAGTACCAGTACTGTTATTTTTTTTTCGTTCCATGCCTTGTTTAATATTATCAATACAACATTAATTAATGCAGTAGTCTAGACCGAACAAACCCAGACTATATGTACTCAGTAGGTTATGTTAAATGTTATTAGAAATTTGCTTGTAAACACAGGATTCAAAAATTTTGGAAAGAAAGGGTAGAATGGATATTGGACGAAAATGATTGGGAAGAATGGGAGTAGGAACTTTTGGGAGAGGCTTTACAAAAGCCCTCTTCAAAAGATTGGGATACTGACCTGAACGAAGGGAAAAATTGATTATATGGGAAATTGCCGGGAGAAGGTGCTCTAGTATAAATACTACTATATGTCTACTAATCTCGTCGTAACACACGGCCTTGGACTGGATTGCTAAAATCGACTTTTTGACATCATCCTGAGAAACAGGAAAAAATTAAAGGTGAATGTTAGGAGTTTGCATAGAAGCAATGGAAGCCATAGTTTGGGAACGAATTGTAGGGTCCAGTGCTTTTACAGAAGCGAAATGTTGGTTGATTTCATCAAGTGACAGAGAAGGACCACAATCCAACGTAGCTGGTCTACAAAGACCGAAAGATTTAGGAATTTCCACACTAAAACTGGGAGAGTTATTAATACAGGGAAATATCGGCGTTTAGCTGCACGTACCATCTGTTTACACCTATTCCTGGCTGCTTTAAAAGATATCCAATTTTCTTCAGTTCGATATCTCTTGAAACGAAGAACACCACGATTTCGTCTAGACATTGCCATCCTTACGCCCTCTATAATCCAAGGGGCAGGGGGACGCTTCAATCTAACCTTGTGAACTGGAGCATGAGCATCACAAAGGCTAAGAATATTGTGGTTAAGGATAATGACTTTATCGTCAGCAACGATATAAATATATAATATATGCTGCTCTTAAAGAGGCTAGATTAAGAGCGTCGTTCCTAAGCTTGTCAAAGTCTATTTTAGACAAACTGCGAAGAGGCATTACAGTAGGGGAATATTTAGGAGGTTTAAGCTTATACGACGTATAAATTAAGTCGTGGCGTGAGAAACCCAAAGCGGGTAACTGTCCATGCATCATCACATGTTCAGGAGAAGCAGCAAGGATTAGATCAATCAATGAGTCATCGGTTCCGATATTATGATGAGTAGCCTTTAAAGGGAGAATAGAAAGATTAACCGACTCAATAATTGAAAGAAACCTTTTGGAACGAGGGCAGTTTTTCAACAGATCAGTATTGAAGTCACCCATGACTATACAGTGAGTGTACTCAGAACAAATATCAACAAGAGCCATATCTAAAGTGGCGAAGTAGTCGGTAGATGGAGGGCAATACACTACCCCTAGAAGCATCCTGATGTCCTTGACATCGAGTTCCACAAATAAAAACTCAGAAGAAGCGGAATAGCAGGACGAAGAACCTAAAACAATTTTGTAAGGAATTGATGCGTGCAGGTAGATTGCAACACCACCTCCACCTTTTCCAACACGATCATTCCTAACAAGTACAAAACCGGATAAGGGATACAAAGTTGACAGTAAAGAAGGTTTCATAGGCATCAATAAGGCATGAATATACTCGGAAAAAAATGAAGCTTCAAGTTCGGAATAGTGTCTCGGGATACTTTGAGCGTTAATATGGCATATGTTCACAGAGTTGTTAAAAGACGTAAAAACTCATTTGAGTAGTTCGTGTAAATTAAGCACGCTATCGTTGAAAGAATCATTACAAGAGTGAAATGACAAAGAATCATTTGCAGAGCTAAACGACTCAACATCAGACATATTACATATACTTTTTACACGCACTTTGAGAAAGTAGTTTGTTCAGAACCGTTTACTGAATCGATTCCAATCATTTTTAATATAGGTAATTTTTTATCCCAAAAATAATTAAAACTACGTAAATTACAGTCACACTAAATCTGTACAGTCAAAATAAACTGAAATGGAACGTAACTTAAGGCAATAAGACTTTTAAGAATGCAGTTTTATTTGTATTATTACTAATTCTCTCATTCAATAAAAATAAAGATAAATGAACTTTATTTCAGGCGCGTTAAAGTCTTTGCGTTCGTGGATTTGTACTGTGACCATAACATTCTTCCGGAATTAGTATAACTAATTTGATAAATAATCAGTGCATAAAAATGTTTAACTAAAAATTCAGTGTATGTAATTATTTCTTACCTCGTATTTACGCGAACACTACACATTGATTAAAACTACTTTTACGGATTTTATCGCGTTTATTTTTTACTTTTAATTACTTTTATTTTTAATTCCCGACGTTTCGGGCGCTGGTGGTGGTGGTTTCGTGGTGCTGGAAAGCGCCCACTTGATTTTTTTAATATATATATATATATATATATATATATATATATATATATATATATATATATATATATATATATATATATATATATATATATATATCGATGGCCCCAACGAATAAACGTGCAATCGAAAAACGACAACTTTTCAGGAAGATATAAAAACGTTTGGAATCACATAACTTTAATTACATAATAAATAGACAAACATTATGTGTGATCAAATTAAAGGTAAAAAAGATATCTTTCAGCTCATATATTTATTATAAATGAAATATTATCGGTTTACTACATTATTTAAGAAAAACCGTATTAAATTATTATTCTAGTGAATAATATGTGACTTGTTAACATTATTGTATCACTGCACGTTTATTCGTGTCATAAATGAAGCTTAAACAAGTGTAGTGAAATGTTGCATGGTTATTCCACGTATATTTTTTTCCCTAAGCCTTGCTCTGGTCATCTACACACTTATTCTTGTATATTTTGTTGCTTTTACATATTTGTAAAGATAAAGGCCCGTATATGTGTTAACAAGATCGACTTAATATTTATGTAATACGACTTTATTAGTGCATGGTATATAATGTAAATTAGCTATTTTTTGTTGAAGGTTCAATAAAAAATATTGTTAATAAGAATAATTACTATTTATTTATCCAATTTAGAACGAAGTAGGTACTTATCAAATATATTATTACTAAAACAAAAACAAGAAAAATGTAACAGAAAACAACTAATAAGTGGTTACTAATAATTCTCCTCGTCACTATCGTTGGTAACTGAGGTGGAATTTAATGGATTAGATTTCTGTAAAAACACTAGTAATGGTTTGGTGTGGCTTCCGAGTGACACAGACTTATTAAATCTCTATATAAAGGAAGAGGTATGGGCAGCATTCCAGTGTATGCGAGTTTTAGGTTTTCAGCGTGTTCTATAGGTTCCCCTCGTCGCCTTCGTGAGTTAGTCCTCGTAATAGCTTGCATCTCTTGTAATTCGTCTTCAAAACTGTATCTAAAGTAAACTGTATCAGGTTGATTATAAGGAAAAACTACTTCTTTAATTTTGCTCCAGTAAATTTTATTACCATCTGTATCTTTTAACCAATTCTTCCCTTTAATTAATTCTTTAAAATCTATGAAATCAGCTTGCGTCATTTGTTTTACTTGATACTTATGTCCGGTAACATTGGCATTCTCTATCAAGGAATACATTTGATCAGGTGTGTAGATAGTATGCTTTTTCTTAGAACGCTCAATAGCAGCATGCATAGAATCGCCCTCCGATTGGCTATGACCTTTATCCAAAAACCTATGTGTTATTTTTATGTTGTATTTCTTCACCGCTAAAGAAAACATGGTGAATACGAAACGATTACGATTTTGCCCTGCGCATGAATCAGAATAAAAGGATATGTTTTTTATTCCTAATTCAACGTGTGCCTGGATAAATGACCAAAGACAACTAGCTATTTCTATCGCAGCCCTTTTCGCAATTTGACAATGCCAGACGTAGCAGTAACCTTTCTTCTCTAAGATATTATAAATCGTGAAATTGTATACAGGATACTTTCGTTTATAATGAAATATGCCTACTTCACTTTGGGGGATATTTACACTTTTTCCAGATCAAAACATGCTACAACACTGTCACCTGAACAAAATTTTTCGTTTTCTTGTTCCTTTAATTGCCTTACCATTTATTTTTCTTTCAAGTGCTTTTCATAGTCAGTTTTTAACTGTTCTTTTCTTACATCATCAGAAGTTTGGTAAATTGAACATATTTCACATAAATCTTTTTTAAGTTTGTGAAAGGATAGGTTAAACTTCGTATTAAATATTATTTCATACTGCTGTTTAGTTGCTTTGCATGTTTGATTGTACTGGTGGTTTGTATCTATCCATTCTAAATATAGTCGGTGCATTTTAGAGACGTTCAATGTTTCACACAGATATTGCTATTGACTATCTTTACGAGTATAGTGTAATTCAACTCTTTCAAATAGATTTATATGGTCAATTATACTTTTCTCAGTCTCTTCTGACATTATTCTTGGCCTATTCTTATGAGTTCCTCTGTAATCTTTTAAATAATTGTCATCTTCCAATTTATCAATAGCTGTGTATACTACTTGCTGTGTAATAGACAAGGTACTTAAAAACATAGTTTTACAAACTTTAATCATGGAATTAGTATCATCGAATAGTTCATATGTTAATGTTTGAGTACGATTATTTTTACGTTCAACTGTAATTTTTTTGACGTTTTCTTTTTTTACATGGCGGTTAATAAAATCCCACTATCTTTCGTGGTCCCCGATAGCCCAAAAATTTTGAAAAATTTTACTCCTCAAATTTTGCTGTATCTTTTTGTAATATTTCAGTTTGCAGTTGCATGGTGGACCTATAGATTTTTCTACGTTTTGCTTTTTAGTTCTAACACTTTCATAACTTTTACCAGAATTTTTAAGAGTTTTATTTTTGCGATCTTTCCATAAATTAGGATCTATTTTTCTCTTTTTCGTAAGCGGTTCTATAGGAGTGACGGGTCTTTCCTCCGATTCTGTAGTTACAATATCCTGTGATATATTTTGTGTTTCAATACTATGTAAAAAACCCTCTAAGTCGGAAATATTTCTTAGATCGTAATCATTATTAATGTATAAAACAGTCGGCGTGGCTATAAAATCTATTTTTTGTTGGTTTGATGGAGTCATTACAATAGAATTATCAGTAGTCTGTAAATCATCATTATTATTTACAGATTGCAATGGAGTAGGGTATTCCATTTCAGGTACAACATTATGAGAAATATCTAAAATGTCATTTGTTGGTAAATTTGGTGGTGAGGTATTATTATCATTTGGAGATACATTTACTACTATTAATGGAGCCGATGTAATAAAATCATCAGGTTCTGAGTTGACTTCTTTGAGGTCTGATATGCCATCAATGGGGAAAGAACTTCGCGAAAGATATGTGAAATTTTCTGAAACAAATTACTCAAATGACTACATTACTATGTTTCCAATAACCAAGGGCTGCGTGGGGGTGAGGGGCTGAGTGTAAATGTAAATAAATAGTTATTGAAAACATAGTAATGTAGTCATTTGAGTAATTTGTTTCAGAAAATTTCACATATCTTTCGCGAAGCTCTTTCCCCATTGATGGCATATCAGACCTCAAAGAAGTCAACTCAGAACCTGATGATTTTATTACATCGGCATATATATATATATATATATATATATATATATATATATATATATATATATATATATATATATTATATCTAACCAACAACCAAAGAAAAAGTTTCATCATTCTCACCTTTAATTTCATGTTGTTCTTCAAGTTCAATACTACTGTCATCTTCATTAATAATATTGTCTGAAAAAAAAGTACTTAACATGGATCAAAAAATGTTTACTCGATACAATATCAGCTGAGCCTGTAAAAGCAAATAATCCTTCTAAATAGAATAGTTACATAATACATAAGACAATAAATTAGCTAAATAATAGGCAACCGCCGCGCGGTGCCTGTGTCAGGTGATTTTCGTTCTTATTACATTTAACTAAAAAAGGTTGTCGGAGTCCACATAACATGGTACCACCTGTTATAAAGGGAAAGAATAATAAGAATCCAATTTCCATTGATTAAAGTGTGTATCCTCTTACTTACAAAAGTAGTTAATCAATAATAATATGAAGGTACATACCGTGTATCCCATAGTTCACCAATTTTAATATCTTTCTGCAACGACTTGAAGTACCTCTGTGTCTATTCATAATTATACTTATCACTCATTAATGATCTAATAAGAATATTAACAACGATGCATATGCTCAGTAAACAAACGAAATTACGTAATAACTCGAGCAAATTCGCATCCGAACTGACCTTCCGGAGTTTAGCGGTGTCACGCGCATCTTACATACCCCGCCCCCGCTTCGCCCCTTTTGTAACGAGCGATTGCAGTAGACACTATTGGGAAAGTATCCGTTTATTAAACGGTTACTACCAATAACTTCAAATTCATGATCGAATAATATTAGGGCTTAAACCTTTACAAAAGTAGAAAAAACAAGAGAAAATGTTAAAAGTCAATGGCATAGCTGTAATTATCATATTCAAAGTTTTGCCGCCTGCAATGAGGCATTACTGATAAAAGTCGCTTGCGTTTTTACACGAAAAATCGTGCAAGAGTTATTACCCAAAGGAAAGGATAGACACGAGCGGCAGATTGATTTAACACGTTTATTCTGGTGAACTCAAATAAACTAATAATCGGCAATAAGCGCATGTTTTATTATTCATGTGATATGTAAATATTTTTTCCGTACAATAAAGGAATATTGTGCTATAAAAGGCTTATTCGAAGTCTAAAATATTCAAAAAAATATACTTAGGTGTATAATAGGCTAAGCAAACGAAAAATACGAAAAAAAAATTTGGGTAAGAGCTCTTGCACGTTTATTCGTTGGGGCTATCGATATATATATATATATATATATATATATATATATATATATATATATATATATATATATATAATTAATTAAAAAAAGTAAGTTATGTAAACTATAACTATTAACTAACAATTACTAAACATAAACATCACCAACCGATCAGTTCACTGTTTACAGAGTAAACTTAATATAAATAAATTTTATATGCAAACTAATGATCTATAATTTCTAAAGCGGCGAAAATAATCTTGACTAATAATAAAGTTCCTAAGTTGGTGTCACACAAAATAATACAGGAAAATACCGAGAGAAAATCGGTTAAAGCAAAGTATAAGATCGACGTTGGCTGTATGATATATGTGTCCTTTGTCTTTAAAAGCCTAAAAAAAAGTAATTCATAGTTGTCATTGTCAAATCAATCCGGATTAAAACCCAAATATTAACAAAAAAAAATGAAATTAAAAATATGTGGTAGGCACATTTATAAAAAGATAAGTATTGTTACCAATATCAAGCATAGTATAAACAAACCTACTATATATAGTCAACCAAATCTAAGAAATACCTTTTGACGTTTCACATTAATCATTTCGCAATAACTTTGCAGAAGCGTACTCACACGATTTAAAATAACCTTTTACGTAAATCCAAAGTATGAAGGTATCTATATTTCATTACAACGTGTACAGTTTTTTATCACTAATTTAAATTCGAAGCTTTCAAATAAAGCAAAATATTAAAAAAATATCAAGTATCAACTTTTTTACTTTACGTCGTTTCAATGATATGTTGCTATGTATCATACCGTAGTGTTTGGATGATTAAAATTCGTTGTTATGCGAATAATCGGCAAAAATATTTAAATAATCGGTAAAAATATTCAAATAATCAAATCATTATTATTTTAATGTATTATTTGTTTAATAAAATTTTTATTTTTAAAATTCTTTAATTACGTGACTCATGAATAAAACAAGTTTATTCTTTTTTACTTTGTCAACGTAAATTTGTGTAGACAAAAAAGGTCATATACAAGGCCTCGAAAAAACCACTACGTAATTTCAATATCCCGCTATTTCGGTAGCTTACTGTGCTTTTTTTAATGATTTTGTGTTTGTCTTTCAATTGGTTACTCGGCTTTAATTTTTTGGACTGTTTCTTATATATTCGTTGAAGCATGTGTCAATGTCACAAAGGATGATTGGATAAAAGAGGTAGAAAAAACAAAAAAAATGATTAAAAAAGATCAATTTGAAATAGACATTAACTTGATGGCATTATTGAGAATCAAATAATAATTAATCTAAACAACGACAGATCAACTAGTTGTACTGAAAGTGATTAATAAAATTTATTTTTTAATCTAGTTTCAATCTTAAATTTTTATGACTTTGTCTCTAGTAAATAAGCAGTAACAACAAATACGAAGAAACTGATTAATCTTGTGTTTTAAGTTTATTCTGGTATTACTCAAACCAAACTATAAATTATTACAAACTCTTAATAATCAATATCGATTTCTTTAAGAATCGAATATTACACGTTCCCAGTTTTTGGTTGGCATGCTTGGTGCAGTAAGTCTGACAGCTGTCAAAATGTATTTCTTAGATTTGGTTGACTATAGGTAAGAAACCTCAACTAAGAAACAAAAGAAAACTAAACGCAAGCAAGTTATGTATTTAAATTAAGTTTATGTTTAGAGAAATAAAAATTCCTATGGAGACTATATTATTAGATAAACAACTTAAAAAAAATTGCAATTATACTGCTGTAAAAAAGTGAACAACTTATGACTACAGTACAGACAATATTGTTCTGTGCTACAGTTATTACAACCAAGAAGATGCGGGACTATAAACACTTAAGTAAATATATGTAAATCAATAATATAAAACAAGGGGTTACAAAAATAAAGGATACCTAGGAATGCCATAATATGTAAATTAAGCAAGCTATTTTTTAGCAATTAAACGGCGGTGATCAGATTTCTTTTAAACTAATTTTACCAAACTGACTCGAAAAATATTGTTATGAATGTTTTATAAAGTGGATTCAACTTAATGTGAATGGAAGCATAATTACTTCTTAATATTTTTTATAGTTAGTACATAAAATTTCTAATTCTAATAAATTATAGATATTATGTACTTATTTATAAAACTGTTTACCGCTTTTATAAAATGCCTAATAACTCACATTTGTTATTTAGATTCATATGGGTTACTGGCTACTAGTAGTGATTTTTTATACACATAAAATGTATATTATCAACATAATTCACATAATATACCAGACGGTAAACAGATGCTGTGGTCCTTGGAATTAACGTTGCCACCACCGAAGATGAAGGTGAAATGCCTCGTTACCAGTAAAATGAGTCTCCGGTTCTCTATACTCAAAATACAAAATAGAGCAATAATTATGCTGCTGGCATTAACCTTAAAAGCCAGTGTTTGACTAGTAACACACCTGATGGTAAGTAGTGATGCAGCCAAATATGGTGCAGTGCACTGACTGAACTTTACAAAAGCCTATTCATATCTGACTTGAGAACGCATTACGAACAGCAAAAAACAGGTTAGTTCAAATGTGTTGTATGGCCACATGGAAAGTGCGGACTGGAAAAACGTATGGTTGTCCGATGGAAGAAGGGAGACGGAAAACTGTGTGTACCGCCGTACTACCAGGCAGAAGGAAGAATTAAGATATCCAATACCTGCACGGACTTTCCGAAATGTATACCGTAGAACACCGAAAGACTGGCTACCATACGCCTCTGCACGAAATTAGTAAGAGGGGTTTTGACCCTTATTTTACGCTGGTATTGATTATGATCTAACGAGCTGACTTAGTCGTACTGTAATCATAATCAAGCAGTAGCTTTGCCACACGACACTACTGCTATATTACGTAGGTTTAACGTTTTGGTTCGATTCTAGAACACAGGAAACGTATACTAAAAATATAAATTTCGGTTTTGATGCCTAGGTCTGAAGTAATTATTCATATGTTATTGATACTGCGTCCAAGCATATACGTTGGCCAGATATTTATGTAAATACATACATACCAGGTACGTATGTATTTACACAAATAAAGGTAGAGTTATGCCTGTCACTCTCAAATGCACAAGTGTACAATTCTTGAAGTGTAGGAAAAATATTTGCCCATGACTATACACAGTTTTGTCAACATCTTGGTCAATACTGAGCCGATGTAATATTGCGAACGTTGTTGTCTTTCTCCCAAATTTTGCCGGCATGAGCAGCATGAGTTTTCATTACCAGGTGCTTTAATTAGTGATAGTAATCTACTTTGCATACGTATCATATTTATGCAATAAATGAAACCACATACTTGTTATCGTCTTTGCTGACGATATACAATAAATGAACGAAATCGGTCCAGTAATTAGGTCAGAAAGTAGCGTTTTAAATTTGAGCTAATTTGAACTCTCTGTAGAATTAGGTCACTAGGTCAATGTTTTAATGAACTTAAACACTTGAACATTAAAAAGCGACGTGGCCACGCAGTGCAAACTATCACGATTTGACACTAGTGTCTTTTGGCGCGTCCCCAGGCGAGCTTGCGCGCACGCCTATATAGTAGAGTAGGACACCTTTTATCGACCATTAGCTTCTTTCAAAGAGAATAATGAATTTTAAAAGTTAGAAGTTTCGCTTTCAGTTCACCGCCAATGTTCCGGGATAGTGTGTGTGCGTTTGGCTTCTTGCGAGCATTGCTTCAAGTGATTTATTTTAAGTAAGATAAATACAAATAATTAAACAATTTTCTTACAGTGGACACTTATTAGCTTATTGATTTTGTGTGTGTGTGTAATGAGTTTTTAGTTTATTTTTATTATTTTACTATGATATTGACACTACTTGACTCTTGCATGTACTCTTGTATGTTGACTCATATTTGCATTAAATTTAGCGAAATAACAAGATTGATATTCTGTTAAGATATAGTTACAGTCTTAAAACAAAACTCCTCTAATTTCTAAGAGAGCAAGGGCAAGGGCAAGAAATGGCTCGCCGCGCTGACCCAATATGTGGTGGAAAACTTCACTTGTTTTCTAAATTATTTTTTAAATTTCTTAGACATGCAGGTTTTAGTTTTAATTTTAGTGGAAAATATTTGAAGCATAATTAATGAGAGAATTCTAACAAATTTTTATGCGTACATTTTGACTTACTTGCGATTTTTACATGGGGCTTTTGAAATTAAAAAACATCATGATTTCAGTAGAAAATATTGCTTGTTTTTTAAACATTTTTCTTCGAACGGCGATCTTACCTCCTCGTACTTGTATT